AATCAGAAACTCAAATAAAGGATCAAGCTGTGCGCTAATCTGATTCTCCTGAGCAAATCAGGGTTAGCAGCCTGAGACAGAATAGTCTGAGCAAGGGGAAAGCTGAATTAAGCCTATTGATTGGAGCAGCCACCCCCAGCGGAGAGATTCTCCCCCTAAGCTTTGAAAATGGTCTTAGTCCCCATGGTGGTTCCTTCTGCAAGTGAGGAGCTGCCGGCTCCCAGCGGGTCCTCGTCAACAGTGATTGCCGTCTTATGAGAAACAGTTCAGGAGTCCAAAGCCAAATGCAACTGGGCTATTATCTAGGATAATGCCAAATTCTGTAAGGATAAACTTATTGTTTAACCATCACTGGAAGGTGACGGCAAAGCAGTCTTCTAAACATACCCCTGCAGTCTCAGATCATTTTTGGAGAAAATTGCTTAGATCTAAATTGCTTTGGTCTGAAAATCTTCTAAATTAGCAACACATTGACCAAACATGTTTCAATAGATAGGTCTTTGAAAAAAGGATGTTTTTCTTACTTTTCCTATTCCGTAACTTAGCCCTCAAATATCCAAAATCGTTTTATAGCCATAAAGCAGAGGCTTACCCTAGAGGAGAAAACCCTGCTGTTTGCTATAAAGATGTAAAGCCCAGATTATCATGCATTTATCAGTGTGAAATGGATTTAGATTAACGTGCAAGACAGCCTGACAAGCTTTATCATAATGCAATGGTGTAGGCGTCAAAACAAAAATAGAGGGATAAAACTGCTATTGGAAGGAGCGCGGCAGTCTTTACACAGACGGCTCTCACGCCAGAGACATTTCTTCTCTTGATTTTCAAATTACATGTATAAAACCTTTCAGGGAACTCTACCATGATGAAATACCTGGTATTTGTTTCATATTTCTACTGGATAGTTTTTCAATCTAACTGATTTATAGACGACCTTGTAGGTAGTACGTACATGAGACAGTCTAGAAGACACTGTCCCTAACCTCATGAATGCTACCCTTTACTTGATAGTTACACTATTTCATATGTTACATTTAACATATCTTTGATACATTAATATTTGCTATTATAAGTCCTGGAAAACCCAAAAATGAATTTAAAGGATGATCTTTGCCTTCAAGCAATCAAAATCTAGTGAAAGATACAACAGGCACATACAGTGCTCTAGCGGCCACGTCAGACGACCTAAGTTCAGTGAGGGAAGTCAGAAAAAAGTGCTGGAGGGTCTCAAGGACGGGCGCAGCCAAGTCTAACAGGCATCATCAAGGGCATCGCTCTGAGTTTCTTTGGCACTTTGGAGTCCTGGGAATGTGTTTTCACTTCAAGTTTTCAACAGTAAACCACTGAGTAAACATTACAAGGTGCCAAGCACTGTGACAGGCACCAAGCATGTGAGCTGAACCCAACACCCGTGTGCTCAGGAATGGATTACCTGTGGCATACACCACAGAAAACTAGTCAGCCATGAAAAGATGGTAGTGTTACAACTTTTGTATTTACCTGAGGGAGTTGAAATACATTGTTCTTATTAAAGTATCTTAAGAATGGGGAGAAAAATATTCAATGTCCTCAATACTACTATGAAACCAACATATAAACACTTACATACTCATACAAATGATAAAACATCAATATAGTCTACTGGGGGCAGTGGGGAGCCGGGAAGGGGAGGGGAAGGGAGGACAGTGATTGGTGGGAGGAGGGAGGGCGTTTGGTGAGATCTCACGTAATATACACAACGCAGGGCAATTTCAAAATAACAAGAGTAGATTTTAAGTGTCTGATCACAAAAAAGTAAGTAAGTGAGGTGACAGTTATGTTAATCAGTTTGATTTCAGCATTCCACATTGTATATCAAATTATCACATTGCACCCCATAAATGTATACAGTTATGCTTTTAATTAAAAATGATTTTAAAAAA